ACAGGCGTGTCGCTGCCGGGAACAAAGTCAATGGTGCCCAGACTGCGTTAGTCAAAAGGCAAGGCGTAGTGAAGAGTGCACGCCTTGCAATACATAACGCAGTGTTGTTACCGACTTTGTTATATGGCAACGAAACCTGGGTATGCCAGAAGAAGCATAAAAGTAAGTTGAATGCAGTGGAAATGCGATCTTTTCGTAAAATGTGCGGCGTTACCATGGCCGACCGAAAGCGAAACGAAGAGATTCGCAATATAGCAGGTTTGAAAGATGACCTTATCACAAAAATTGATAAGGGTGTGCTTCGATGGTTTGAGCATGTTGAGCGAATGAGTGAAGACCGAAGGGTGAAGAAAATATATAGCGCGAAACTAAACATTAAAAGGTGTCGAAGTAGACCGAGACTAACTTTCGAAGACCATGTGAGCAAATTGCTCGAAGAAGGGAGTGTCAAAAGTACTCGGATACCTAGACGTGCATGTATGAAGAAGATAATGAATCTGAAAGAAGCGAAAGAGGTATGTAAGGATCGTGACACTTGGCGATCTATTCTCTCTGGCTACCCCGTCAGGGATTGTGCGTGAAAATAAGTAAGTAAGTAAGTAAGGCTACCACCAGCGATAGCCCCTCCATAAGAGATAGAAGAAATACAGACTTAGGTGCCACGAGTGTCGCAAGAGGATCTTGCCGCGGCAGTCTTAAAACTCCGAGCAAAAAACAAGGCTCCAGGTCCCGACGGCATTCCTGGACGCGCCTGGGTCTTAACTCTCGAGGAACTAGAGGAACGATTCCGCAGACTACTTGATGTCTGTCTGGAGACGGGACGGTTCCCCTTGCAATGGAAGATGGGCAGGCTAGGCCTTTTGAAAAAGGATGGGCGCCCTACGGACTCTCACTACGCCTGCCGCCGAATAGTGTTGCTCGATGAAGCAGATAACCTTTTCGAGCGAATAATAGCCCGTCGCCTAATTAGGCATCTCGAAGAGGTGGGACCCAACTTGTCGACCAGCAGTTTGGCTTTCGAGTGGGTCTGTCGACGATAGACGCAATTAAATACGTCAAAGCCCACTCGGACGTGATACTGGCGAGGGGTGGGGTGTTACTGGCAGTGGCTCTAGATATTGCCAACGCTTTCAATACCCTGCCCTGGGCGTGCATCAGAGAGGCACTGAAGTATCACAAAGTGCCTCCCTATCTCAGTCGAATAGTCGGGAACTATCTCTTTGAGCGATGCGTTCGTTATCCTGGGCGGAAAGGCAGGTTAATAAAGAGGGAAATGTCGTGTTGTGTTCCACAGGGTTCGGTTTTAGGACCACTTCTGTGGAACATCGGTTACGACTAGGTGTTGCGTGGAGATCTTCCCTGGGTGTTGGTATAATCTGCTATGCAGACGATATGCTAATCACTGCCCGGAGTGAAACATATGAGATAGCCGTTCGTCTTGCCACTGCGTCGGTGGCACAGGTTGTCGGCAGAAACAGAATGTTGGGACTGGAAGTGGCGTTAAGCAAATCCGAGGGCGTTTGCTTTTACAGACCTCGAAAAGCGCCGTCGCAGAGATCCCTCATTATTGTCAGTGATGTCCGAATACAGCTTGAGTCCAACATGAGGTATCTTGGACTCATTATTGATAGCCGCTGGAGCTTCCGCGAGCACTTCCTTTTCCACTTGCTAAACTTATGAGTTCCAGGAAACTTACCAAGTTCTGGGTACTCATAAAACGAGAACAACTTCTTACCACCCACAATCTTTTTTTTTTTAATAAGATAATCATCATTTATTGTCATAACTGTGTACATGAGGTCTTACAAATACAGAGTATAGTTACAACAGTTTGTCCATTTCGGACGTACAATATAATAAAAATATAATAAAGCACTATCTGATAGAATCTGATGGAATGGTAGAACGATTTAATCAGACATTGGAAAGTACCTAGCAAAAGTTGTGACAAATCAGTAACGAGACTGGGACAAGCACATACAACAGTTTTTATTGTCATATCGAAGCGCTGTTGACTCCCACCCCGGTCCATGCCATCGAAATCCATTTGATGATGTTTTGCATAAAGGTGACTTAGGTCTTGAAATAACACAAAAGATTAGATAAACATTTAGCATAGTTCTATAATTCCGTCTATAAATTCTAGTGGTAGAGCCACGTTGCATCTATATTATGATTCTAGCATGAATGGGTTGGCTCGAACGGAGAAGAACCACGCTCTTACATAATACCCCCGTAAAATAGCAGCTTGCTGCTGTGTTTCGTCTGGTGTGTATAGAACCGGATTTTACTGGAAATGAAACAATCCATCTCGTCCTCATGGGTGACAACGCAGCTTCATTTTGATTCTTAATCGAGAATAAATGTAGATGCCTATGGGCTACAGTATCCACTTACCATCAGTCTACTGTGAGCTCGTTTATCACCCTTATTCCATTAAAAAAAAAACCCTTATACTAAAACAGTTGATAATTATTTTGATGAAATTTGGTATGAACATTTCCTAGATCCTACGTGCTGAGTGTAGTGTTTGCGTATATATATATAAGTCACTGTCTCGAGTGCACCGCGTCAGTTTCACGAGAGCCTCTGGCGAGAGTGGACATGTTTAGTTAAGTGCATGTCGAGCCTGTGTTACACTACACTGATTACAGAAGATAGCAGACAATACAAGTGGCGACGAGAAAAAAGGTAAGTACCTGTTTAGTATAAAGATATCAACAAAAATAGGTTAGCAATGTGCAACTATTAGCATTGCAATTGAAAATTGTGAACTAAATCCTAGAGTACCCGCGGAAAATACTTTGGATTATGAATTATGATTTATTGTTTTTAACCCTGTGCATACATTTTAATAATTTATATAAATTATATGTTCGCATATGACCACGCTTATGGTGTGCAAAATTTATTTTCTTTATGTAGCAATGACAAAATAATGATTTATTTTAACATATTATGTCTATTAGCACAACTTATATTTAAAAAGATTTTTGATGGAAAAATAGTAGATGTAACTAATCACTCCTCTCGATTCGAACCGAAATACAATGTCGTTAGCTAAATTTTAGTGGCATTTTACATGTAGGTGTGATATTTATCGCCTTTAATGAAAATACTATTTTACCGCTTTCATGGCAACGTCTTACAAAAAATCGTGGACACTTCACGACTTCTAATCGTAAATTGCATAGTAGGTAACTAGTAATACTGTAAATGGGCATTATAGGTATTGAATTTATCCAAAGCCTAAATGGCACAGCAATGGAAGTAGTCGGTATAACAAATAAACCGAAAGAGAAGGGCGAGTGTTATGGAACATATTATTATCATGAAATTGAGCTGGGGTACTAAGATACCACCATTAAATTGGAGTTTGGGTACTAAGATACCACCATTAAATTGAAGTTTGGGTACTAAGATACCACCATTAAATTGTAGTTTGGGTACTAAGATACCACCATTAAATTGGAGTTTGGGTACTAAGATACCACCATTAAATTGGAGTTTGGGTACTAAGATACCACCATTAAATTGGAGTTTGGGTACTAAGATACCACCATTAAATTGGAGTTTAGGTACTAAGATACCACCATTAAATTGGAGTTTGGGTACTAAGGTACTATTTTTTTTTTTTATAGGAGAGGGGGCAAACGAGCATGCGGCTCACCTGATGGTAAGTGACTACCGCCGCCCATGAACAACCGCAACACCAGGGGAATTGCAGATGCGTTGCCGGCCTTTTAAAAAGGAGTAGGCTCTTTTCTTGAAGGTCCCTAAGTCGTATCGGTCCGGAAAAATCCCTGGTGGTAAACTATTCCACAAGGAAGTTGTGCGAGGAAGAAAACATCTTCTAAATCGCACAGTGGTGGACCGCCAATCATCCAGATGGTGTGGATGGTATCGGGAGTTCTGCCGCGATGTGCGTTCGTGAAATTTGGCGGCTGGGATTAATCCGAACAATTCCTCAGAGCACTCCCCATGGTAGATGCGAAAGAAAATGCAAAGAGATGCAACATCTCTTCGCAGTGCCAATGAATCGAGCCGATCGGAAAGGGCTCGGTCGTCGACGATTCGAGCCGCTCTGCGCTGGATGCGGTCAAGTGGACTACCATTAAATTGGACTTTGGGTATTAAAATACCAGCATTAAATTGGAAATAAATATATAAGAAACTGTTTCAGTTTGCCCCTAAAATAATAATAATAATGATACCGTTATCAACTTTAATGTGATAGCACATCTATGGCTATAAGGTGTGAAAAATGGAAAAGGTCTCTACTAATCTATCTGGACGCAGCTGAAGTTATATCAGCACTCAAGAAACGAGCTACGCTATTGCATTTTGGTGGCTCTGGGATACAAGAAATATTGTACAATTTACCGGGTGCCAATGTCGAATCATCAGAAACCGTTGATGTATTTAAAGTAGCCATAAAAAACTCTACGAGTATTTTCAACCTAAACAGAGCAAAGTTTATGAGCGGCAAGTTTTTCGATTGCTAAAGGAAAAAGGAGAAAAATTTGAGAAGTTTTTGATAAGATTGCGTCAACAGGCCGAAAAGTGTGCATTCGAAAAGCAAGATGATCATCTCATAGATCAAATTGCGGAAAAGTGTAATTTGAAATTGCGCAAGAACCTTATATCTTAAAAAACGTAGGAAGAGTTAAATAAGCAAAAAAGTATATGCTTTTAATCAAATGTAAAGACCAGACAAGACATTATTAGCATATGGTAGTAACTCTCCTTTGGCAATAGAGAGTTCATTTGAAACTATACTCGAAGTCGATGGACGGAAGGAACATACAACCATTTACGTGATTTCGGGGGGTACTAGAGACCTGTTGGGTAAGAACACAGCAGTCCGTCTGAGTGTCTTAAAACTTGGTATCGGGATAAATCAAGTGGAGAGTACCGATCCCCATTAAAGAGAAGGTTGCAATCAAAATTAAGGAATCACTAAACAGAGATATAGTTGAAGAAGTGCAAGGCCCGTCTAAATGGGTTTCACCAATGTTCCAATCATAAAAGAAAATGGTGAATTACGTTTGTGCGTAGATAGATATGAGATGTACGAACGCCGCTATATTGCGAGAAAACCAGCCCCTGCCTACTATGGACCATTTTTGCCTAAAATGAAGAAAGCTAAATATTTTAACAAATTAGACATAAAAAATGCCTTCCATCAAGTGGAAATTCACTCTGAATCCAGACACATAAAGACTTTTATAACCCCCAAAAGATTATATAGATATAAAAGAATAATGCTTGGAATTACCTGCGCTTCTGGGATTGTTCAGAAGATCATTGAAAGGATGCTGATAAACTGTGAAGGGGTCGTCAATTTTATTGATGATATCCTGGTATTCGGGAACAGTGAAGAAGAACATGACGCATGACTAAAGAAAGTTCTACAGGTACTTAGTAAAAACAACGCCGTGCTGAATAGCAATAACTGCATATATAAAACGCAGGATGTGAATTTTCTGGGACACAGGCTTACACACGAAGGAGTAAACCCTTCAACAAGTACGTTGAGAGCATTATGAAATTTAGGGTCCCAAAGACCATAGAAGAACTCCAAAGTTTTTTAGGACTCTTAAACTACATAAACAAATGGCCGCCATGACAGAACTTCTGAAGCACCTGCTAAGACAGAAGATGAGCAAAAGGAAGAGCTTGGAAAAACAATGGTCTGGGGAACAAGATAAAGCATTCCAAAAACTCAAACGAATGCTCACGGAAATACAGATTTTAGGGTATTATGACGTCAGAGATGCAAGACAGGTGATAGCAGATGCTAGCCCTGTCGGACTTGGTGCTGTCCTTGTACAAAATGATACAAATGGCCCTAGAATTATTGCCTATGGTAATCGAACTTTGACAGACTGTGAGCGCAAGTATAGCCAAACTGAAAAAGAGGCACTAGCATTAGTTTGGGGGGTCGAACATTTTAATATTTTTATTTGGAAAGCCTTTTCATTTAGTCACTGACCACAAGCCGCTAGAGATATTGTTCGGGTCTAAGTCAAAACCATGTGCGAGGATTGAACGATGGGTACTGAGGCTACAGTCTTATTCATTGAAGGTTGTATACAAGCCAGGAAAAACAAATATAGCTGATCCCTTGTCACGATTATGTAACTACCCTGATAACCCACCAAAAGGAAAAGACCAGCATGTGTACCAAATAGTGGAAAATTCTAGACCAGTTGTTATACCAATGAGTACTATTGTAGCATATTCAGAAAAAGACCAAGAGATTTACAAAGTGAAAAAAGGTGTCTATCAGAACGACTGGGACGATTCGATTAAGAGTTACAAATTTTTTAAAACGAGTTGTTTCCATAATAGCATTTTACTTCGTGGAAATAAAATTGTAATACCACAGCAACTCTGCAAGAGTGTATTAGATGCTGCATACAAGGGTCATCCAGGTATCGTAGCGATGAAGGGACGCTTGAGATCAAAGGTATGGTGGCCCCGTATCGATAAAGACGTAGAACAATTAGTAAAGGCCTGTAAAGGTTGTACGTTAGTGGGTTTGCCAAACCCACCTGCACCAATGAAGAGACGAGAGTTGCCTGCAGCTCCATGGATAGATGTCACAATGGATCTAATGGGACCATTGCCAAGTAACGAGTATCTGTTAGTAGTGGTCGACTACTATAGTCGATACAAAGTAAAAACTGCAAAAACATCACAAGCTTACAGATTATTAAAATGGTAATAGAAATGTTCAGTAGACTTGGTTATCGTATTTCTATCACCGCAGACAATGGCAAGCAGTTCGTTAGTGAAGAGTTTCGATCTTTCTTCAAAGAATGTAACATTAAGTTATTTAGTACTGTACCATATTGGCCTCAAATGATCGGCGAAGTTGAAAGACAAAACAGAGATATTTTGAAACGTCTTCGTATCAGCCAGATCGAGAGGAAGGATTTAAAAGAATGTTTGTGGGAGTATCGTCTAATGTATAACAGCACCCTTCCTTACATTTACCGGGAGGTTACCGTCTGAACTGTTTTTTCAATGAAAAAGTAGGGATAAAATTCCATTAATAGGTGAAATAAATTACAGACAATCATTTAGATTCAGATATCAGGGATAGAGACAAAATATAAAAAGAAAAAGGAAAAGAGTATGTAGATAGGAAACGCAGAGCAACTCACTCAGATATAATAAAGGGAGATAAGGTTTATGTAAAAGTAGTGGAAAAATCGAATAATCTTACAACAACTTTTAAACCGACGCCACACGTCGTAGAGAGTGCACGAGACGGTTACTGCACAGTACGCAATAGTGAAACGAACCAAAGGTTTAGGAGAAATGTGATACATTTGAAGAAAGTAGGAGCCGATTGGACCCGATCAGAATGAAAAAGAAGAAAATCTAGAACAGGATAAAGAAGACGAAAATATGTAATAATTAATACAGACAATACAAGCTGCTTTGTGATTGTTATGAGTTATAATAAAAAAAAGAAAAAATCTTGATAAGAAAGAGATGTAGTGTTTGCGTATATATATATAAGTCACTGTCTCGAGCGCACCGCGTCAGTTTCACGAGAGCCTCGGGCGAGAGTGGACGTGTTTAGTTAAGTGCGTGCCGAGCCTGTGTTACACTACACTGATTAGAGAAGATAGCAGACAATACACTGAGCATTAATAAAAAGTTTCGTAATGGTTTCTCATCAGCAGTAGGATAAATATAATTTACTCTTCTGATATACGACTATCTCGGTGTAATAATCTCTCTCGATTCAGATGTAATATCAGATGTCACGCATAGGCTTCTAGGCACAAATAATTATTTAGTCACCCATGTGAAATTAACTTAAAATAGATTGAAATCAATATAAGGAAATAAAAATAGCTGAGTTTGGTTTGCCCTCACCCGTAGCAAAGGGGAGAAATGATTTGCGATGTTGTAAGGGAGCTCTGCCACAACGTCAATGACTTATAAACCCCCGTGAATGAAATAGTGCCACATTTGCTTCTCAAGCAGCGGCACGTGTGTGCAAAACTTTCGTGTTGAACTTTTGGTTGCAATATACGTATACTAGCGGGAAGGTTTGACTTGGGACTCAGCTTATTCGTAAGTTTCCATAATTCTTTAAATTTCTTTAGCGAGTGACTTGATACGATCTTATCCATTTTTAAGTTGGTCTGCGTGATTCTGAAACCATTTTAACTTTGACTTTAAACGTCTAGTTCACACATTTTATTATAATAATAACCCGAATGGAATCGATTACCATCAGCGATTTTTCCGGACCGATAAGACGTAGGGACCTTCAAGAAAAGAGCCTTCTTTTTTTTAAAAGGCCGGCAATGCATCTGCAATTGGTACCCTGGTACCCTAGTGTTACATTTGTTCATGGGCGGTGGTAGTCACTTACCTTCAGGTGAGCTGCATGCTCGTTTGCCCCCTCTCCTATGAAAAAAAAATCTCTCCCAACGAAGTCTCTGAAGTAATAAATACTATGACTAGAGGGGAAATCACTAGGGCATGATGTGCTTAGCATTAAACATCCAGTACATGTTGGTGCCCACATGCCAAGAGTGATGGCTGTATTTCTAAGTTTATGTATAGCACATCATTATCTTCCGACTGATCTCATGAAGACCATTGTGGTGCCTGTTCTAAAGAACAAAATACGAGGTAAATCGAACATAAATAATTACAGATCAATCTCACTTGCCATTATAAGAGCTAAGGTGCAGGACAGTTTCCTTGACAGACAATTGCTAAAGCATATCCATCTGCATGATTCACAATTTCGGTTCAAACCTGGACTATACACAGAGAGCGGAATTTTATGTCTTAGGAGACTGTAAGGAACTACACAAACGCCAGTGTATGCCTGTTTCTTAGATCTATCAAAAGCTTTTGATTTAGTCTCTTATGATATATTATTGCGAATGTTTTAGATGGAGACTAATATTCCCCAGAATGATCTTCTCTTCTGTTCTGAAAGATCTTCTGTTTTTCTGTTTTTTTTTTTAAAAAACACGTTACCCAGTTTAACAGTGGTAGAGTCACGCGGCAGCTTTTGCTGTCGCACGGATGGGCCGGCTCAAACCGGGGTGGTACCACGACCTCACAGAATACCAGCGTGAAGTAGAGGTTTACTTCTGCGTTTCGCTTGGTGAGTGCAGGTGGCCGGAGGCCCTTTTTACTGAAAATGAGGCATTCCATCTTAGTCCTCACGGGTGACAACGCATCTGCATTTTGATTCGCAAACGAGGATAGTTGTAGATGTCTATGGGCGGCAGCAACCACTTACCATCAGGTGGACCGTGTGCTCGTTTGTCACCCTTATCCTATAAAAAAAATACACCCACACTAGGATTTTCTCCTGTATCGTGGAGGCAGTTTACAAACACAAATTGCTCAAGGACAAACATCCAGACCCGGAACAATTATTTGCAGGCCATACAAATACTTGTTCCGTGCGGGATTCAAACCCGCGGCCCCCAGCGCAGCAACTCATTGCTAAGCCACTGCGCCGCGGAGCTGTCGATCTCCGTATTTAAATATTGTTATAGTAACCAAATTAACTATGTTCGATGAGGTATCCGCTTTTCTGAGAGGTATGGGCTGGAATGCTGGGTTAGACAACGCTTACGCTTTTCAACCTCTATATAAACCACTCGATTGTGGAGCTCAGAAGTACTAAGGTCGGTTGTTCTATAGACGGAGTTTGTATAAATAATATAAGCTATGCAGATGACATGGTGCTGCTGAATCCCACGATAGGTGCACTCAGAAGTCTGAAGGAAACTGAAATAGGAAATGGGCAATTGGAAATAAGAAAAAACTGTGTTGCCGACCCGAATGGCAAGCGTGACAACTATAGCAAAATTCTCCACATGAGGCAATTTATGGGTGAGGCCTATGTTCAGCAGTGGACTTCTATAGACTGTAATGGAACAAGGTCTTCCGATAAGACTTTAAGCACGTATCTCCACTAAGTTTAATGATGCTAGGAGGTATATTTTATTTCGAGGAATAGAATTCATCGTCTTTTTTCACGTGTTGGAGCCATTCTGCAGCTATATTTACTGTTTAGTTGTAGCACGAATGGTTCGGCTCGACTGGGGAGGACCACGCTCTCACAGAATACCAGCGTAAAATAGCATTTTAACACTGCTGTGTTTCGTATGGTGAGTGTAGAGAACCGAAGACCCTCTTTACTAGAGAAGAGGCATTCCATCTTAGTCCTCACGGGTGACAACGCATCTGCATTTTAATTCTTTATTGAGGATTGATGTAGATTTCTATGGGCCACAGCAACCACTTACCATCAGGTGGACTGTGTGCTCCTTTGTCACCCTAAACTATAAAAAATCTGTGGAAACAGATATCAGCCTTGGTTGGTCGTTCCTATAAAATT